TTTATGATTTGATTCTGGGGATACTCTGACATGATACTATTTTGAAAACAAATTTGTAATAACTGATGTTTTTGAATGTTTTAAAAAGTTTGAATTTGGCATGATTTTTAGTGTGTTATAGATACCATGTAAGGACATCTTCAAAGAAAGGATCAAGATATTTTGGAAGTGATTTCTTTGGTGAAAGTGAAACAAAAACGATGAAAACTTTAATAACCTATGAGCTAAAGGAAAAGAACGATGTTTCCCAGTTTCCATCATCAAATGAGAAAGGACACAATGTCCTTAAAATTAGAAAATCTCTCATCATCAATAAAAGATTGATAATAGGTTTCAAGTAACCATCAAGATACACCATTCCTGAATCATTAAAATCAGTTCTGTACAACCCACTTAGCTTTACCAGTGTTGATTTGTCAAACATAGAAAATGAACTACAATGACTCAAAGCCTCCATTTGTTGTAGCAAATTGGTGCTCACTTCACTAAAATTGCCCCCGTGTTCTTGAATTTTCATATCCAAAATCGTGTTGAAAAATATCAACTTCAAAGTGATGTTAATTAGTAACCCTGATCATATGGTTTCTTGGAGTAACATAAAATTCGAACATTTCCACAATTTTGATTTTATGTTTATGACAAAAAGAAAATACATTTTCCAACATTGAAGGAAACTGATAGCTTATTTTATTTCCTTATTTTTATTAGTTTATTTTTAGATTTTTATCTCTTTTTATTAATATTGCATTGTATATTCTTTATTTTCTTTATCATGGATCGTATCGGGGACTTTTTATTTTGCATGAGGAATTTTGCAGGTTTTTGGAGCTCATTGCGGTTGCGGTTTGACTGGAGTTAGGCTTAGTGGGCTTTTCGATGCATTATTGGGCTTGGCGGATCCACCAAAGGAGATTTGGGATTAAAAAGATAAAGGCTTGGATGAAGTGGGCTTGTGAAGATGGATCATGGATAATTAATTTGGGCTTGGAGCATCCATTTTTTAAGCTAAAAGATGATTGGCTAGTTTGAATCATGTGGGATATGGAGGGGACCAAGAGAATCTTTGGTAATGGGATGGTTAGTGGAGGAAAAATGAGCCAATAGCATTCCAGCAGCACTTGCGCGGGTAGAATTTCCGTCGCGCGGGTACCCGCGCAACTGCCCAGTTTTGGGCATTTTGGTCATTTGGTTTGCCATTACCTTGGGGGATCAGATCTAGCAGCCATAATCTCGATTTCACACCATTGGAGACCTGGAGAAGGCGATTTTGAAGCTCAAGAGTCATTTCTTTTCATCTTTCCAAGTTATTGGTAGTTTCTTTATGCAATTAGACTTTTGTGATTGTTGTTCTATTGCCATGAGTGGCTAAACTCTATATTTGGTTAACTTTGGCTAAAAACCCTTGAATGTTTGTGGGTTTTTGAAGGATTCATGTTTGATTATCAATTATCTCATGTTTATGATTCTAGTTCATATTTCTTATGCTTGTTTGCTACTTTGATCATGAGCTTGGTACTTGAATGAGCAATTGTTGGTTTATTTCTTTGGTTTTGCATTGAATCATTGAATTTACTTAGAACAAGAGCTTTATGATGGTAGAAATCATCTCTATCTTATGAATCATAGCTCCTTTATGGATGTGTAAGCATTGACATCCTCTAGGAATTGGGGATTCCTTCATTCTTAAGGCTAATTAACTTCTTGGGTTCAATTGCTTCAATTGGATCTTTGATTTTGATTAAGAAGGTGTGTTGTAGGCTTCCCCAACCTCCATACTACCTATGAGGAATCTTGGCATATCATGTTTCATGATTGTTATAACCAATTTGGGATGAATGATAAGCTTTGTATTGAATCCTAATGATAAACACACAAATGTTCATTGTGTTGAATTGCCTTGGTTAACCAGTTGTTCCCAATATTTGAGCATCTCACCATTTTGCTTAATTGCAAGCTTTTTAGTTATTCAAGTCTTTTAGTTTTCAAGCAATCACAACACCCCCCCTTTTAGTTTAATTGTAGTTAGTTAGTCTATTTACACTAGTTCTATTAGATTGCATTGGTGATTGAATACAACCATTTCCCCGAGGATCGATACCCCTTTTTACCATTATATTACGTTTTATTTGCAAACAAATGGTGTGATTTGCTTGGTGGACTTGACATCCCACCAGAAACTCATTATTCCTTAAAGCTTTCAACATTTTCATTGTCACTTTCACCAAAGAAGCCGCTTCCAAATTATCCTGATCCTTTCTTTGAAGATGTCTTGACAAGGAATCCATGACACCAAAAATCCTCAACGTCAAGTTTAAATAAAACACAAAATAAAGTATCTTGAAACATGACACATAGCGTACGCTTGATTTCGGTTATGTAAACTAGATCCCTTCTCTTCAACATAATTAAGAACCTTGACAACCTCCATAAACAAATGCTTCAAACTTGTTTTTGTTTTATAATGTGTGCCCCATCTTGTATCTCCGGCTAGAACAAGGGAAATCTCTTGATTTAACCCACTTTTGGTCTCAATTTCACAAATACCAATTTTTTTTGAACCCTTTTCGTGTAACTCTATCGTATTATATCTTTTCTTTTACAATAAGTACACACCACGTTAATCACCAAAGCTAATTGCTCAAAAAAATCATGAGCACCATCATGGTTCTTTGCTACGACCACAACCACTAATTGAAGTTTGTGTGAAAAAAATAGTGTACTAATATGTCGAAAGATTATCTTTCAATATCAATGCTTTCAAACCGTTAAATGCACTTCACATATTACTTGCTTCATCATATCCTTTCCATTTGTTCCTTTTTGGATACATCACTAAACTTGTTTACTAATATAGAAAACTCATTCTTACCACTTTCTTTACAAATGGACTTGATTAGCTTTTTTGAAATGCATTGGACAATTTCTTTTTGAATCTTCGGAGATGTTAATTTTTCATTTTTGGAACATTTTCTAAAGTAACATTATAAATATTTTTAGTATGTTCCTAAAGGACAAATAATTCTTCAATGAAAAGGTCTCTACAATGATATCCACCCGACTCCTCATGACCATGAAACAGTATCATATTTTTTAATAAAAATCTACAAGTATCAATTGTAGCACGTAGTCGAATTTGATAGCTACACGCCTCAACTTTAGTTTGCTTATGAAAACCTTCATTAATATATTGTTAGATTTTCACACTTTTGATTTGTTTTGTTGTGATGACCGTCAATATTACCCACATGATCTTTCATTGATTTCTTTTTGCCCGTGGTGTTAAAGCTTCCCGTTGCAAATACATCTCCCCCCTTGGTGCCCTATAATGTCCCTAAACAAGTAACAATATAAACAATAAGCTTTGTTTATCTTTTTTGGTGCTATACTCTAACCAATTAAATTTATCAAACCATTCATTTACAAAACGGTCTATTCTTATCACCGTTTTTTATTGATAGAGAGTCATGACCTTTTGGTTGAGAAGATGTTTTAATCTAATATGATCTCCTTATTTCATCCTTTTGATTTTTTGATTTGGATGATAGGAAGTAATTTGTGGCATATTTTTTTGGGTCATAAGATTATTAATATTAAAACTTGGTGAAGTAGGTTGTGGTTGTGTTTGAGGTTGAGGTTTTTTCCTCCACTTTCATCACTATTACCATTACCAACATTCAATTTTCTTATAAAAAAAATAAAACCCTACAAACACAAGTAAAGATTTAAACATAATTTCATTAACAAAATAATAAACTAACAAATAAACAACTAATTATCTAATTTTAGTTTTTCAAATTGAACAACTAAATTAAACTAAAATAATAAATCTTTAAAAAGTAAAGTAAATAACTAATGTTTGTTTTCTTGATAGTGGAAAAGAAGCCAAGCCAAATAGCAACTGCAACCAGCCAAGCCGTAAGAGTCTGTGAGCAAATCGGGGGAGTACTAATTCCACCATCCATAGCCTTTTTCTTTTTGTAGGCTAAAATTTAGGGGTGTAAACGAGTCGAGTCGAGCCGAATACTACCAAGCTCGAAGCTCGCTCGACTAAAATACTCGAGCTCGAAACTCGGCTCGAACTCGACTCGAGCCTTGATTTTAAGCTCGAGCTCGGGCTCATGAAATACTTGACAGTCTCGAGCTCGGCTTGGCTCGACTCGACTAATATTTAAAAAAAATCAAAATCACTAAATTGAGTTAGAAATATTAAATATTCCACATGCAAATGTCCAAACTACCAAAAAAAACCACTATTAATCACCTAATATCAATATAACATCAACCATATATGTCATAAATGAATAATTATAAAGAAATGACATATATGCTATAAATGAACCATTATTAAGAAATGGCATATATGTAAATTACACTAAGCTCGACTAAGCTCGCGAGTCTTACGAGTTGAGTATTTTAGTACTCGAGCTCGGCTCGATAAGGTACTCGAGTAGCTCGAGCTTGAGCTCGGCTCGATTAAGGTCGAGTCGATTTCGAGTATTTTCTGAGTCGGTCTCGAGTTTCTCACGAGTTGGCTTGTCTCACTTACACCCTTAGGCTAAATAATGTAATTTAATGGGCTGTTACTTGGACTATGATTTAGAGTTTTTGATTTTCATCAAGTCCACAAGTTGCACCTTTTCTTTTTGTAGGCTAGATAATGTAATTTAATGGGCTGTTACTTGGACCATGATTTAGAGTTTTTGAGTTTTCATTAAGCCCACAAGTTGCACCTTTTAATTCCGGTTCATCATGTATATAGATTTCTTACCAACATGTTAGTTCCGCAACTGGTCATATACATATAAATATAAATAAATAAATATACACATAACAAAAAAAGTTTAATATTTAATAGTTATGCATATGAAAAATATAAAATATAAAATTTATTTAACCAAAATTATATAGGTTCATATTCGTGATGAAATACAATATTTTAAAGGTTGGTAGTTCCTGCAAAGAAGGCGAGCGAGCGGGTATGCCGGTGATTGAATGGATGGATGGAAGCAGTGGACGGAGAGAAGACCGCTCGCCCTCACCACCACACCACACCATCATCATCACCATTTCTATTCACATCTCTTTATTTAACCCCAATTTCCATCTTCCAATCTCGCAATTTGAATCAAACAAACGTAATCGTCGTCAAAATGTCGTGGCAAACTTACGTTGATGACCATTTGATGTGTGACATCGATGGCAGTGGCCAGCATCTCAGCTCCGCCGCCATTACCGGACTCGACGGCACCGTTTGGGCCCAGAGCGCCAAGTTCCCTCAGGTCATTTCTTAATTTTTACCCCTTTCTCCTTCGATTGTTTCGAATTAAGTTGTGAAATTGTATTCGATTTCGCTAGTGTTTGATTTTTCGATGTTGATCTGGATGATTTCACGATTTTCACGATCTGATTACTTGATCCGCTTATATCATTGTCGTATCAAGTATCAACGATTTGCAAATTTGATCATGTAATTATCGTTTGCGCATAATAACTCGTATTAATTCGAACAGGATCTCGGTGACTGATTTTGTTTTGCTGATTCATGTATTTCCTTGTAATAATTCATGTTTTCTATATCTCATTGATTATGTTTTTGCAGTTTAAACCCGAGGAGATGAAAGCCATCTGTAATGAATTCGATAATGCAGGCACCCTTGCTCCTACAGGTCTATTCCTGGGTGGTGCAAAGTACATGGTACTCCAAGGAGAGGCTGGAGCTGTCATCCGTGGAAAGAAGGTGATAAATACAGCATCCTACTTTCATTTCTTTCTAGGTTTACCTTATATATTATTATTTTTTTTTTAAAGATTAAACCTCAGTTTTATTTTCTCCGTTTTTTCTAAAAAAAACCTTCTAACTTTTTATTTTTTTCCAAAAAAAAACCCTTTAACCTTTTAGTTTTAAAAAAAAACCCTCAACTTTTATTTTTCATCTGAAAACACCCTCGCATTTAACAAGTTTTTTCAGAAAAAAAAAACGGTCAAAAGGGCCGAATCGAAGAATCGAAAAAAAAATGAGAAAATCTATGGTATTTTTTAGAAAAAATAAAAATAAAGTTGAGCTTTGATCTGGAAAATCATAATATATAACGTCATTTATCATATTAACCTTTATTTCTATTACACCATTATACTTCCATTTTTTTTTATTTCTTTTACATGATATTTTCGAACCTCTACCAAGTTATTGCAGTGAAAATTGTTTTGAATATGGACAACATTGTTATGACTTTTGACTATGTAGATTTTTTGAATCATAATGTTGTAATAAGAATAGATGAAAGTATGATGCTATAATAAAGGGTTTTGTGTAGAAAAAATCTTATTATTTTGGGAAATTTTTTGATAAAATCCTAAAAACATTTGAACAGAAAAGTCCCAATTATTTAACATTTTGCCCAAATTAACAAAAGTCTTTTTTTAACAAGAAATGACCAATTATGTGGTTTTCCCTAAATAATAGGATTTTTTTGTTAAAAAAAATCATTTAGGAATTTATCAAAAAAATTTCCAAAATAATGAGATTTTTCTGCATAAAACCCCTATAATAAACAAATAAATGAAAGTATGTTGGTATTTGGTAGGGAGCGGGTGGAATATGCATCAAGAAGACTGGTCAAGCCATGGTGTTTGGGCTGTATGATGAGCCTGTGAATCCCGGTCAATGCAACATGGTTGTGGAGAGGTTGGGGGATTATCTCGTTGACCAGGGCATGTAAACAAACCTCCTTCACCTCCTCTTCGTTATTCAATAATTATATGGCGTGAACACTTTTCTTTCGGTTTCCTTGAAAGAATGTGAATTAGTTTTGAATTTTTGATCTCCAATTCCTTGTTATAAAACAAATTATATGTGTATTTCATTGTATCACACTCTCAATAAGTTTGATGTCATTTCAAAATTTTGCCTTTTGTATTTCTATTGATTTCATTTTGAATATGCGGTAGAAAATTGTAATTACGTTGCTATTATAGGTAACCAATGGTTTAAAGAGAAGTTTCTTGTAGACTCAAATGCCACGTAAGTAAAAAGGCAATTGGTTTTTGATGTTAAAATTGATACAATCGGTAGAAAGGTGTAAGTACGTTATTATTGTAAGTAAAACAAAATAGTACGTTGCCCATATTTATAAAAAAAAGGATAATATGTTGCTATTTCATGTTATTTCCATTAGTGTGTGTGTGTATATATATATATATATATATATATATATATATATATATATATATATATATATATATATTAAACCACAAAGGCCTTAGGAACAATACAAATTTCCAGCTGATGGTTTTGTAAAATGGATGGTATTGGCTTTCATGGAGCTGTGGCTTATTTTGGATACTCATCCGCTTGCCTCCTTCACACCGATAGATGCTTTCCACAAATCTTCTACCGCCTCTGTCTTTCAATTTCATTATTCCACAAGAAAAAGCTTTAACATTGATTGAATATTTTCATCCTTCTCACCTCTTTTGCTCTCAAAAGGGCTCAAAGATTCATCAATTCCATTCTCACGTCAATGGTTTTCAACCAACTCAGAACGATTCTCTGTAGATGGAGGTATGGTTAATTTTGGATTTGAGAGACCGAGGAAGAACTGAAGCGCACATCCAAGTTTGAATAAAATATTGAATTCTTTGATAAAGTAATTTATGTATTTTTTGGAACTAATATATAAAATATTGTCTTTTTATGTTAACAAAAATAATTCTTCATAAATCATCCAAAAACATGTGAGATATATGGAATCTAGTGAAGTTTTGACATGAGATATATGGAATCTAGTGAAGTTTTGATTGTGACATAGCGTCCTAATGCAATAATTAATCTCATGTTTTTTTCTATGGTTTGTTGAACATTGATTTTTTTTTATTAAAATATTAATGGCCTTGCCACGATCCTCTGAAGTGTCTGATACATAACCAAAAACTATAAGTCAAAGCTTATTGAGTTACCCCAAAGTACCACCACACAATACACATATCATATACAAACAAGCATGTTGGTCCAATCAGTCATCGGACTGGAATACCCACGGGTCCACAGCCGTCGGACTGGATTAACCCTGGCCCAATCAGTCATCGAACTGGAATGCCAACATACAACAGGTCCACTCAGTCATCAGACTGGAATACCAATATACAACGGGTCCACTCTGAGACTGGAATACCCTCGGGTCCACTCAGTCGTCGGACTGGAATACTCCTGGTCTGTTAATTCACCCACATAGCAGTAAAGTCTCAACCCAACACAATATGTCAACATATAACAAAAAACAAACATATTCAACAGACAGACAATCATGTAGCCAGAAATCACAGGTAGTGCTACAGATCTACCGGTTTACGCATATTAACAACTATCATATGATCATGCAGATCTATCTCATACTCAACATATCATAAATCAATGTATAAAAGGATATCAATCCAATGGGTCGGCCTTGGTGCCTTCAACCCGTAAGTACAGTGAGAAAAACTCACATCACAATCTGACGAATAGCCGATCAATACTCTGCTCCCAAATATCGGCTCAACCCAAATCCTAAATGTCAAAACATTATCCATTAATAATATTTTCCCCAAAATGCCCTTGGTCAAACTTTGTCAACGATCAGAAGTCAAGTCAACACCTAGTCGAGTCACCCAGCCGAGCCAACCCGACCGAGTCGACCCAGCCGAGTACGTGAAAGATCTAGTATGCTCAAGAGTCATATTAAAATGATATTGCTAAATAACATATGATCTTAAGGGTCACACTAACAACAACTTGATACAAATGATTATTTATTAGAAATTGATTTTAATAAATATTCATAAACTCTTACAATAAGTTGGGAAAATCTTTATTTCAAGGAAATAATTATTTTATAATACAAGTAACACATTATTTCATAATGTATGAATTAATAAGTCATGTATAACATTTTGGACTAGTTGAGTCTTTTGTCTTTTACCTAAAGATAAAGTTTATATTTTATAAACTTGGAGTTTATAAATTTAAACATTTTGTCTTCTTTTTAAAGGCATGGCCGAAACTAGTGTAGACTAGTTGTCACACCCCCAAACCAGAACGGCGGAAACGTCCGGGGGTGGGTGACTTCATGTCAAATATCACAACACATGCATTATAGTAATCAAAGTACAACAACCATTGCATTAATAATGTATAAGTTTTTACATAGGTGTTCAAACATTGAACATTTGATATCAAAAGTAGATAAAGTAAAAGACAAAAGACGCAGCACGGTACAAAGCTGTCTTCTCAAAAGCTCTAGGAGTGTACTTGTCTACTGGATTCCCTGAGAATACAAGTTATTTTGAAAGAGAGTATCAACATTTAAGTTAGTGAGTTCATAAGTATTAGTTTCTGTAACATACACGTTTTGAGATCGTGTTTTATATAAATAATATTATGAAATATTATGTGATATTGAGTACTGAGTTCTAACAGATAGTTTTTTTTACTAGAAATAAGGTAAAACTATGTTTAGAATCACTCATAAATTATTGGAAGTCTTATGAGATTCCAATTAAAAGCTAAATAGTGAAATTCAGCGAAAATATAAAACTTGAAATAAGTAAAATTTTATTGTTGAAAGTTGTAGATAATCTCGTTAGAAACACGCAGGCGAAAACCTCGTCGAAATCCGAGTTATAACGAAGAAGTTATGACCAATCGAAGATCTACGATAAAACCGGCACGGTGCCGAATGACGTAAAAAGTGAGTTTTTTGATAAACTACTTTTTAGCCTTAGTGATCTAAATGAAAGTCGTAGTATTCGTTAAACCGAGAAGTTCGATAAAAAGAACGCCAAAATCTGATTTCGTATGAGGAAGTTATGATTTTTACAAGTTTCAGCGTATCAATAGACAGCTAAAAACTCGAATTTTAGATCGAGTGATTTTTAGCCGACACAACCTAAACGAGAATCGAAGGTCTCGTCATTATCAGTACAATGGTAAAAAGTCTGACGAAAACGGACGTCGGATGAAGAAGTTATGAATTTTTAACGGATTTACCAGTCCCGGTCTGTTAAAAATAATAATATAAAAATGAAGTCAAAATTTTCCGACGAAGTCTAAACGAAAGTTGTAGAGCATAGTTTTCTCTACGCGTGCATATAAAGAACGTCAAAAACGGAGCCCGTATGAGAAAGTTATGGATTTTACAAGATTGGGCACATTTTCATTTAATTTTCGCATGAATAGTGTTGATCCACGTGACAATTTCTGATTGGACCGCAGCCTCGCTGGCACCTTCTGATTGGTCCGATGTCGTGTCCGCCTCGTTTCCGACGTCGTGACTCACCCTCGCCCGGATCCGACGCGTGTCGCGATGAGTCGTCCGAAGCTGCTTAGTCACCCGGTGACTCCTCGCATCCGAAGACGCCTGTTGCGTCCGAAGCGAGCCACCTGGAGCCCTCGCATGCGCGCCATCTGGTCCTCTCGCGAGCCGCCAGCTGCCCCTCCTCCCTTCGGCCGAAGACCTTCGCCTCCTATAAATAGGAGGGTGCGAACCCTCTCGGCTAACTTTGGAAATTTCACACTTTTTCACCATTTTTCAATACTTTTACTATCCCGACATCCCCCGAAGCCCCGGTACTTATTCCAAAGCCCGAAACGCGCCCCGAGATTCCCGAGAAGCCCGAAAAATTTATCTTTTCGATTTCGAAGCCCTACCTTCGCAGAGCCCGGTTTTCAACGAAGAAAGTCATATTTAAAGCCGAAGTGTTGCCCAAATTACTATTTTGACCCCCGGTTATTTCTCGGTGAGTTTAATATATAGGAACAATTGTATGTTATGTGTTATATGTGCTATGTGCTTTTCCATGTTATCATCTCGAGTTGTTGTATCTGCTATTTTATAGCAAGGCTGTACCTCTGACTTGAAGTGTATGACATAAGCATCACTTGGGTATTGGTATGAACCGTTGACCATGAAGTGTATGACATAGGCATCACTTTGGCTTCGGTAGTATGCTAAGATAAGGCTGAAAGCCTAAATATTCTAGCAAAATGATATTCTTGAGTATTTATTGTGCCATTTGTGCTGAAACTTTATTGATTTTATATCAAGTATGGAATTTGTTATGTCTCATTGATTAATATGGAAAGCTTTTCGCATTATGCCTTTGTTGTTCCTTGTTCCTCTTTGCTTCTGGCATATTACAGTATATATATGGCATAACGTTATATTGTATCTATTATTGAACTCACTAAGCGCCACCGCTTACCCCTCTCAATGTTTAACTAATTTGCAGGAGATAAGCATCCAGTATAGTTATATACTGGTAGCAGATTTTTTGAATAGTTTGAAACTACTGTATTGATAGAAGATTTTCGAATAGTTTGAAACTATTGTATTTTGCACTCCCATATGTATAAATCTATAGAATCCTGGGAAGTTATGTAATATATAACACTATGAAATAGTGGGTTTGTATCCAATAGTTTGTAACCGCTTTATCAATATAAAATATTGTTTTATGAATATGCATGTAGCATGTTTTGGAGTAACTATATTGTCAAGTATGAAAGTTGGGTCTTTCAGAAATATGAAAGTATAGAAAGGGGTTCTTTCACATTCCATGTGTTGCAACTTAGGAAGTGTGTCACAGACGAGGCTGCGGTTGTCTCGTTGGGTGATATCCAGGTGGATGAGAGCTTGAACTACATCGAGAAGCCCGTTGCCATTTTGGATAGGAAGATGAAGGTTCTTCGGAATAAGGAAGTAAGACTGGTGAAAGTAAAATGGAAACATCGGAAGGGCTCCAAATGGACTTGGGAACCGGAAGAGGAGATGCGAGATCATTACCCCAATTTTTTTGAGTCAGCAAACTTCGAGGACGAAGTCTAGTTCAAGTGGGGGAGACTTGTAACGCCTGGT